TAACGTTAGCGTTATATAGCCAGGGCTAAAAGCAAAAATTCCATTACTTACATTATCAAGAAGATATAGGTTTTAAACATGTTTCCCTGAATTATTTAACAACTAGACCACAAAGTCGCGTCGACTACGATTTTGCAGTCCATAAGGCCCTATCCCCTCCGACGAGACCGAGCGGTCTAAATTTTTTTAATATCCACCAAACTACTGGATAAATTTGAATCAGAATCTCAATTGTTGTCCATTTTTCGCGTTTCTAGAGTAGAGGCGACCATGGTCTGACATGAATACTGAGACCATAGTTCAATAGTCACATCAGAATGCTAGATTTGTACACAGTTTGGTTAAATACTTATATGCGCTATTCTCTCTTTTATTCCCTCTCATCCTATTTTATTCCCTTTTTTGTCGCAATTCTTTACAGGACGAAATTTAGCGACATCTAACAAAATTTAACGATCGCACGCACATTTTCAGGATGTTTTTTTTTGTTTCGAAAAGTTCGCACGCGCATTTATAAGTTTTGTTGTTGTTGTTGTTGTTTTTTCTCGAAAAGTAAGCATCTATTTTGACTACGGATTTACTTGAGTGTGTTCCACAAGCTTATCTTGTAAATTATAAACTTATGAGTTTAATACAAGGGGACTTATATAGGGGACTAATAGACTTCAACTTTCGAGTCTGGCCCGTCCATTGATGTCATTAAATCGGTTAGTCAACAGGGATCCGAATTGTAATTGCTACTCGAAAAGATATTCATTAAATCTTTGATAGGGTCGATACGATTGAAGTTCGTTTTGGGCTTGCTTTAATTTTCAAAATCTATGACAAGATGTACTTCATTGATTAAACAGATTTACGTAATGGAAGTTGATTATGAGATTTTGAAAAAGATCTGCCGGTTTGGAAGAGGATTCATTAGAAGGCACGAAAAAACAAGTTATTTAAATTAAAATTGAGAAGTGTCTTAAAAGGTTTAAAGGATTCATTATTGTTTCACGTAGAATAATAAAGCGAGTGTACGGTTTATCCGGCATAACACAGCTCAAAACTCAAAAAACGTTTTTCCGGCTTTTTTTCCCTTTTTGTCTTTCTTTGTCTCAAAACCTTTTTTTATTCATCTCATTCTTTTGCCATTAAAATTTCTTTACTTCTTGTTATATTTGAATTACTCCTTCGTACTTTCTTTCTTGAGACACTGAAATTCGTACTCTAAAATTAATTGTTTTGAAATACTTAATTCTCTTTGTTAATCGTTTTTTGAACGTTAATTTATTGACTGCAGGGTTTAGAAATAAATAATGTATTTCCCTGTATAAATTAAAACAACCTTTTATCTTTCATTGAAGTTAAACTATCTATATCCTTTTAATTTAAGATAATGATAAAACAACCAGAGTGACCTCTTTTCTTCAACGCAAACTGAAAATCTCAATATATATTGAAGGAAAGTGAAAGACTGGGATTCTTGCCCAAGGCCACTAAGTTACGAACAGAATGTTTTGTTGTTGTTTTTTTAAGATTTTTATTTCAATAATTACACATATAATACTACATCACATTAGTACAAAAAAAAAATAAAAAACACTAACAAAACAAAAAACAGAAACATGAAATATATAGCTAAAATACTATTTTAAAAAACTATCACCGTAGAAAACTTGGAAAAAGCTTGGACTCAGATAAATGATATAAATGATGTCCATGGTACCCTAATAGCAAATTTCGAATATTTTCATACTTTCTCATGTGTAAGGCCAGTCTAGATTCTTTTTTTGCTATGATATACTCCATTTTTTCATACAATGTTACAATAAATATAAAATCATTTAATTTTGGGAACTTCTGTTTAATAGCCCTTGATAAGCGTGGCGCAGAATGTTATTTACCCTACATCCATAGATCAAGAATAAAAAAACCTTCGCGATAAACAGAGGAAAGGTAAATGACACTCTTCCCGCAAGGTAGATTGCCAGCATCTCTCATAGTAATTAAGCCTTTTTCAAATATGTCTGRATAGCGTATTGGAATAATATTATATATAAACTAACGTTTAATCATGAATGACCAATCCGATATTTGAAACATAGATTTTAGACGTTTATGTCAGACAGTGGAATACCCTGAGGTACGTTTACGTGTGAGCGTTAATTGARAGACCACAAGACTTTCAACATCGTMTTCGGTCTCTTTTTTGGACCATTGCGGCCCATCAACTTTAATTTTTGTCAGTAATCTCGTATCGTTTTCCGGTGCCGATTGATTTCCGTCGAATTAATGCCGTTAAAGTTCAGTCATTATTTAAATGATCAAAACAGAAAAATAAGTAAAGTTATGAATCTTATAATTCTTGTCAGTCCGCATTTTACAGTTGTGATACGCAAAAAAAAATCTCCCGCCCCCCCCCCCCCCCCCCCCCCCAAATAAAAACGTTTATCAAGAAATGAACTATTAAGCTTAGATTATCTATTTAAAAAATGTTTAAATAAAGTCTAATTACTTAGATAATATTAGTACTTTTTTAGTATACTCTTGTGCTAATYAAAAGCCTTTCTAGTCGATTGCAGTCATGAAATGTTACCATCGAGAAAGGGTCCAAATACTACATGTTAAGGCCGGTTCACACTAGTAATGGCGATTTTGTGGCGATTTTTGAGCGATTTTCGAGCTATTTTTAAAAATATAATTAATTTTGTCTGATCCTTCTAAAGAGTACTTCAGTTCTTGAATAAAACTTTACAAGGTCATTCTTTACATTATTCTCAAAGATCAAAGTAACCGCAAAAATCGCAGTAAACATCGCCCKAAAAAATCACCAGTCTGACCTGCCTTAAGTAAGAGTGCGTGTAAAGAAATAACTCCTGTAGGAAAGTGAAGGCAGGTGGTCGCTGTACTTCTTCGGTGAAATAATTTCACTATCTTAGTCGTTTTAAAGGGTTACTTCTTCAAAAATGTCCCTTTGGAACACTGAGTATAAAGTAATTCAAGCATAGCTCTTATTCTTACATATTAGAAAGGAGGATGCTTTCCTTGGAATTCATCCACCGTTCGGAAATTTTTGTTCAGAAGATAAAAGAACAATAGTGCTAAGTCAATGATGTCCTCCATCGACTCTAAAAATCTATGCCAAAGTATTTGAGAATATTGAACAGAATTTAAGAAAAAGATTAGAACATTGTCGCTRAATAAATATAGTAAAGCCACATAGATAGGTTTAGTACTCGAGTTTGAACAATTTAAGACAATTTTCATAGAAGTAGCRCTTAATAAGATGATTTAAAAACGAGAAAATGTAAGAAAATGTAGTAATATCGATATGATAACAAYCGTCGAAAATTGAAAAAAAGATATAAACAACAGAAACAGTGAAAGTAAAAATGAATAATGGGGCTGCTAGAATGGGAAATTAAAATAATAGAGAAATGAAAAACAATTCTTTCAAAAAATTACAATAACAAAAAGAAAAAAAATAGAGCAGATCGAAAATAATAGCAATAGACGAGATTTAAAGTGAGTTTCTATGGTCTAAATCAAGGTGATTACGTTAGTTTCAGTGTAGTACCAATCAATTTAATATATATTTTGTACATAACTCCAAACATGAACTGTTTTAGATCCTTTAGATCCTTTTAAATTCAATACAAACTGTTRCTAGTTTGAAATTTTCTTATATACATTCCTCCCGACAACCTTTTTGGAGATATCTGTACCGTGTAATAACGTAATAAAAAGAATGAGAGAACAATGAAAAAGGAAAAGGCGGGWTTGAAAGTGAGATCTAAAYAGACAAAGGCAGCAACGGAAAAACTGGAAAATTAGAAGCAASCAAAATCTAAAAAGATAACAAAAACGCTGCCAATATTTAAACTTCCGACCAAAGATCCTTAACTCAGATTTAACTGAATATTCAGTTGTTATCGAAARTGAGGATGCAAGACTGACTTAGCACTTGAAAAAAGCAGACGTTTTGATTTATAGACGAATATGATCAAATGTTGTTACTACACACTTAATATAAATGTATTATGCATCAATGAATCAATGTTTTATTTTTTTATTTTTTTTTGTCACTTTCTCGCTGAGTATACTGTGAAATTCCTCTCTGAGAACTGAGTTACAGTTGCCCAAGATTGTTATACTCAAAACAGATCCATTCGTACTCTACTCACCATTGTTTTTCTAGTTTTTACCACAAATTAAAACWACATACCAAAACAACATAACATGTGTTATACTTTTAAAGCAAGTTTTTTAATGAAATTCACTTTAACTCGATTTCGAGCCCAAGTTAGATTTTAGAACTATTCAAGTACACTTTTGTAGATAAAAAATAGGGGATCACCTTTATAAAGTGAAAACGTTAGACCCGTACATCAAAATAAAATTGATAACTATCAAAAATTACTCTCAAAGACTGGGAACCGAGATTTCCCTCTTTTTAGAATCAAAAATAGMATTAGTATGGATTGGGAATTTTTGCAAGAAGATTTGCCATGAACATTGCGAATGAAATTCAGTGAAAAAGTCATTAAATCAGCAAATTTCATCGTAAGATTTAGCCAAAATCTGGGCGGAGAACTGTCACTAGAACCCCCTGAAAGAACCAGAATAAATACGTCTRTGTACATACTCACTTGATGTTGGGATCGGCTGTGGTTCGGTACCAGGACTTAGTGTATAAGATGTCTAAGTGTAGTGCTCTTATATAGGATTTATCAGCTCATCATAGAGATATCTACTATATCTTTAAGTACAATATCATAAATAGGTTCGTGTGTTTATTATACGATGAATACCGGAACACAGTTGAAGCATCAAACACTTGAAATACACCCCACAAACTTGTCATTACACGCAAACAGATTCTTTAGAAGCTGACCGTGAAAACATTACGTCCATCAGATAACACTACTAAAAAGTGAAAATCCTTTAGGTTGTTATGAGTTTTGAATATAAAATTTCCAATCCATCATTTGAAGATCAAAAAATTGACTAAGATAGCTGTGCGTCGGATTTGCMTAATGARGACCGCGCACTCCATAAGCGCGGAAAAGTACATTTGAAATAGATTAGAAAAGGGCATTTATTTTCGAGAGTTACATGACTGCTAAATGACTTCTTAAAGAACTTAACGGCTTATATTTTTTTTMGAAAAAACCCTAAAGCTTGATAAGACAGATATGAATGCCATCAGTTGAAATGACTGCTGTTCGGATCTTAAGAGAAATAATAACATATGACGTAGGAACTATACTTAATTTTTTGCCCGTTAGGATGGCTTTGTTTATTGTTTGACTATAATATTTCCCTTATAGATAACTATGTTTGCATGAGAGCACCCTTAGCAAAATTTTGTGAAAAAGTTGATTTCTGTGTAGCAAGAGAATTGCTACCTAGGAGATTATAACATTAATTATACCTAAATAACTTCCATCATTGGTCATTATATACCCCAATGTAGACCGTTTTCTTGGCCTCACACAGAGGACACTATGTTAACAGTTAAACTTACAATCGTTGTGTATACTATAGGAATCTACGAAATGGCCTTGAAAGTCTCGAGGATTAGGGAGGAAGTTACYATAAAATAATAGAATGTCTGAAATAAAAGAAAAACATGAATGGGAAGAAATGCTGATAGGAAACAAGGATAAATGGGATATAGGCGTGTTGAGGTTTTAACCTGCACCTTTATATTGTCCAAGGAAAAAAAAACCTGTGAAACTGTGCCATAATGTGGTCGTTTGCGAAGAGTTTCCCTATGGACATAGTCTCACTATGTAATCATCGAGTTCATTGGTTGCATACGTATTGTATTCTACTCATTGTATTCTAGTCATGATTAACATTTTTAGGAATTGTTCTTTAGGAGAACAGGTTTTTTCAAAATTTTGCAGTCTCACTTTGTAATAGCCGAGTTCAAAGCACACGCATTATACTATTGAACAAACGTATTATATTCTACTCTAGTCATGATGTAACATTTTCAGGAATTGTTCWTTATGAAAACATTTCTTTCTACATGATCAAAATATGGCAGTCTTTTTTTCGTGACATTGGGAGCCATCAGATAACAGTTTTCACTGACGCTCGGAGCKTAGTTTCTAATCGAAGAACAATTAAACTGATCTTGTTGACAGTGCGCTAACGTGCTGATCTCCAAAGTTAGTCTTCATGTTATTTAATTGATGAGCATTAATCCAACAAATCATGATAAAATTCGGAAGCTTCTGGGGAAAATGTGAATTATGAAACTTAGATATGAAAAGAAAAGAAAATCTGACAACCCATTCAATTTGTTTTTAGGCCATCGTCGATTTACACCGATATTGTGGGCTTAGATATAGCGAGGTTTTAGACATAAAATCAAACAATCAATTAAAAATTCGCAACATAAATCGGATTTTATGAAGCAGTTTTAGCCGGGTTGTTATGAACTCCTGTATTAGAAAGAATTATAGCTTATATATTTATTTATTTCTTCGGTTTTACTTTTTTCTGTCCCATCCATTTATTCATTTATTCAATCATCCATCCATTTTTTGACATAGATGCATCTACTATTTTTAATTGGATATTGAAAGCCAATACTTTGCTTCCACTAAATATCATCTTTTCCAAAATTTGTTCAAGCTCATATAAAACATTTCCTGGATTATTTCCCACCTGTGAATTATAATAATGGTATGAGATCTTGGCGGATAATGTGTGTCGATCTTTGAAGGCAGTTGAAACAAAAATGTAAAACGTATCGTGCAGTATTTTTGATTTTTATGTATAAACCCCATGATTCTCGTTTTTCAACTCGTGCATCGAAATTGTCAGTCAAAACATCCAAGGGCTAAAAGTCTGTTTCTTGATTCCCGGTGCTTGCCAATCTTGAGATCTTGAATCTAAATTCTGATCCCTAATCCTTGATCCCATATGTACGTCGGAGAAATAGCGCGAGCTGATTGGCGAGATAAAAAGGGTTACATATAATTGTCTCGTTTGCACAATTTTACCTGACAAGTCGGATGTGCTGTGAATGGGTTTACCAAAACTACAACAAATAATCTTGTGAATCATAGCCTGCCGAAAGAACTGGATGCTTGCCCAGGTTTTGTTGCTATAGCTAGTTTTTTCTTGATCCTGCTGATATTCATTGAGACCTTTCTCCTCCATGTCATTGACCCCCTCTCCACTGCATGCGCTCCAAGTGCTCTTATTGCCGATAGTGTGATCCCAGGTGTGGAAACTAGTTCTTGACTGTTATTTCACTTATGATTGAGGAGGTTCTTCTGGGTCTTTAGTTTTATTCTAGTCTTGATTAAGCTCTCCATATAGTTCGCTTTGGAAAGTCTGGAGCCAGACAAGCCTTGGACATCTTGCGACCAGTCTGTGCGATGCCTTGTTTAGTGCTTTAAAACAATAGTCTTCTTCACGGATACCTGCGCCATTTTAAAGGTAGCCGCGTGCCTTTGCATCGAAGCGAGAGGACCGTTGAGCTTGAAATGATAAAAACCTTCTTTCATACCTACAGAAAATTATTCACCGGAATCCATCATTGCACACTCAACGGTAGTCTCGCTTTGATGTAAAGGCACGGCTACTTTTCAAGATGGCGCTGGGATCCTTGAAAGGGACTATTCTACATCATTTGCTCTGTCTGGCAAGTACATCTCTAAGAGCTCTCCTTGGTTTCGAGTGAGTTCTTTAAGTACTTCCAGTTGATGATCATAAAGAAGAGAAGTGCGGCTGAAGCTTTTGCAATATAATGATGTCATATAGACCTCTGCAGCTTTTACGTCATGTACCGTATACGCAATGCATTGTAGGATATGTTTGGGACAGAACATGGCGGATTTCTTTTGCTTTCTCTTGAAATTGATCCCACAATGCATTGAAAATCAAGTAGTGACGTAGAAGGTTCAGAGGTCTATTTGGCCAAAGGTGCTTGTGCAGGAGTCAATGGTATTAGTGCCTGCTTGAATCCATCTCTTTATGGTTTGAGGAGTTGCATTTTCTCAAACTAGATGAAGTTATAAGGTTTGAATGTGGCTGATCCATTCACCTACTCATCCGGGAAGGTTTGGAGGTTGTCCATATATATACAATAGACCATTTTTTGACATGGTGATCTACTAATTTGATTTGGCAATGTTAGTGCTTTCACAATCTGGGTGGGGTCTGCAGGTTGGGTCAGCAGTAATTGGCGATGAGCTGGGAGTTGGTGCGAAGTTGAGTTGATAAATGTCCAATATCTTCAACAGGAGTTTTCTTGTACTTAGGTAATACTTCAAAAGGATCACTCGCAGCCTGAGTTGGGAGCCCAAATCGTGCAAATATCTTGAAACTACTGATAAGGCTTGAGGACGCCTTCTGACGCAGCAACTCAATTTCAAAGTACTTTGAGCAGTTATGTTTTTAGAAATAAGATATGGTAGAAACTGACCTTATATTTAACTTGAGTAGTCATTGATGGTCGGAAAACGTACTCCTCTTGATTTGACCCATGCGCTCTCCAAAGACTTTATTCATAGGACCTCCTCTCTCTATGATCTCGGAAGGCCAGACTTTAAGTTGGATGCTTCACTATTTACTGACCTGGACCTTTGCGGCTTCAAATTATTTGCTGCTGAGTGTCTGGTGCTATTCCTATTGTTAGTTCTTTGTCAAACATTTAGAGTGATAAAAAATAAACTATTCTATTCTATTCAAATACATGTCTAAATCCACACCCTTTTTGCAATCGGCTGTATTCTAGCACTAGCAATATAATATGGAAGTACAATAGACGGAGGTTTGTGAATATACCCATTCTTCAGTCGTATGGCACCCCACTGTGTTTGCGAGATAATGAACGATAATATTGACCTTTAAATAACGGTCACGTGACAGGAGGACCACACCGAATAACGCTCGTAAGGCATTCAAGGCAATACTAATCAATTCTATGGATTTCAATAGCTTAGCTGCGAAACAGTTATGAAGGTGAACATTGTTGGTTGACTTTTCAATTTGTTAAACTGGGATGGACTCCTACTGAAGGTCTATATACATATTCTTTAGAATTAAAAAAAGGATATATCCTTTATCGTGAAAATATTTAAGACATGCTCGATTTGATTGAGGATATGTTTTCGCCTTACCGCAGCCCAAAGTACACCATTTTTGGTAAAAGTTTAGCTTTACTATTATAAAAATACCAAACGTATATATTATATTTTTTTCATTATACCCGTAAAATAGAAGGTAAAGAACAATTTTGTAATGCTATACAAACTATTGTTTGCAAAGAATACTTTGTTAGGCTACTAGTAAGCATGGTACCTTAGCTTTTTTTCAACTGGAGTATTGCTAAAAATTAATGATGAAATGATGATGATGATATGAACGGTAAATTGATAGTAAACTTAATTCAGACTTTGATTTAACTTCACTGTTAAGCATTAGGAAACAATAAATCAGAAATGAGTATTTCACGGTTTAGAGTAAGAACTCTTTTTCACGATTTTAGGGAATGCCTTCACGATTATTTGGTAAAAGTACGAAGCGAGTTCAAGGTTTGAAAAAGACTTTTTCATTGACAAAATTATGTAAAATGTTTGACTTTTTGACTGACCTATCTGATTAATATTTTCCACTATAAATTATGAAAGTTTTCTGACAAAGATATCGTTTCGAAAAACGTCTTATCATAGTTTCATATTCATAGCCCTCTGCATGAGCAAAATAGTTCTTTGACTACTGATTTACCTGGGTGTCTTCCACAA